GAAATATTTTTGTTCAACATTATAACTAAATGTTTACTATCATCACCTTTCTCAAAGTTTGGCACGTGTTCATTGACATAAGCATAGTTAACTATTTGCTTTGTATTTATGTAATTATGGTTATATTTATGAACATATGTTAAGTGTTAAAAAAAACGATAATAATACCATTTGTTTAAAATGGTGAGTAAAAATACTTAGAATAAACGTGGCTTACTTTCAGCACCAGCTAACCTTCATAGGCAATATGTAACTGAGTTATGATCAATAATTAATCGATATGATGATGAGCATTTGAATTTGACATCACTTTCGCCGGGTAAAAATGGTGTTTTTCGAAGCAGCAGGCATCAGACAATGGCGTTGAAAATTTTGGTTGCTACAGCTCCCATGAGAGAGATCGGGGGTGGAGCCAGCCAGCCTGACAAGGTTGACAGGATTGAATAAGAGCACCTACTCTGAACACGTGGCCATCTGTTTCTTTCCCAAATGAATCTTTTCACCGTACACGGCATATACGAAAACCAAGCTTTATGTGTACCCAACAAATAGTATTGGTAGTTTCTGTTGAAGAAAGCAAGAAACCCTGCGATATATTCTATCATTATTTTTTCTTCTCCTCGAAGGAGATCATTGGGGCAAGAAATTGGATCCTTTTTCGCCACCTGAATTGGCTAACCTATTACAATATACGTGTTTCAATGTTTTCATGATGAAAATGCTAAGATAACATTGTCGACTTGATGAAGAAAAGCATATCTTGCTAGCTAGCTACCTTTTCCTTCTTTTCAACCCCAAACAAAATGCTTTTCCTTTCACGATCGACTTCCACCTAACCTGCTTGGAAATTCACTTGTGATACACAACATTGATTTGCGTGCTGTCCCGGCATATGATATATAATAGAATGTGGAGCATGTAGGGTGGTGGACTCTCAGAGTCGTTTTGATGTGCGCGAGACTCGTTTTGAGAAATGTGCATATAAAGATTCACACGCCGATATTGTCTTTGTCGTTTGCTCATATCAAGTAGTGAGAATTTAATGGAGACTAAAAATGTGCAACCTGTCAGGGTTAGTGATTTAGTTATCAACGCTGTCTAATTAGTCATGCAAATTGGGCATGTGTATTAGCCGAGTGAAAATGATTGGACGGAGCCGACTTTGGATGATCATCAGTAGCTTCTAGAACTATTAAGCCATAATCAATTTTTGTGGTGATGAACGAGCCACCATTCCTAATCCCACGCACTCAGCTACATACAAACTTTGCCCTTCCAGAAAAATAAAAGAAAAGGCTGCATATAACTTTGGAAAAGGAAAATGAAAAAAAATCTTCTTTTCATGGTCTTCAGTGAAATTACTTTGGGGTTGGATCACGAACGAAACCTAAAGGCTTTTCAAGACTTTAAATCCCACCAATGAGCAGTGGCCACGAAGGATCCTAGTACTTTGATGATGGTTGTCTAATTTGAAGGCTTCTTATATTATATTGATCATGCATCAATAATTTGTTATTTATTTTGGGTAAATATATCATACTCATGGGGCACGTTTTTGATCAAATTAAGTTGCCAACTCTTTAATATTGTCGGGGACTTGTGGTCTTATTTTAAGTTTGAACTTTCTATTTTCCAGCCTAGAATTTAATTCTAAATTGTAATGGATGTAAGCTTGCATAAGTTGTCAAAAAATATCTGGCAAAACTAGCAGTGCCTCCTTTTTTGCCTTTCTGATTAAATTTGTTTTCATATATATAGAAGTGTTCACATAAGAGAGTAATTGAAGACATAAGTTTTGTATTTGCTTCTCATTCATTGCTCCTTTCCCGGAAAGAAAAACAAAAAGTTTTGAAAGCTAACGGACTCATGATTTCAAAATAAAGTAGGCTAAATTTACTTTAAGGATGAATTATTGTTAATTTTGAATTGAGCTAAACCCTAAACCTACATACGAACTGCTGGGAAAAAAATTAAGCCCAGGTTAGACAACCGATGGGACCGTCAGAAAAGGTATTAATCAATTTGATTTTTTAGCTTAAGATAATTAATTTAATTAAGCACCTTCATTTGCTGGTATATCCTTTCTGCTTTTCTATTTAATTTATACTAACATTAATATAGGAAAGACAACCAAACAAACCAGTCAACGTCAGTAGGGCAGTGCATGTTTTTCCTTTTTCGTTCAATAAATCATTTAGGCAACTCAATTTTCGTCTTTACTTCGAGTGGAAGAAGTGCAGAACAAAGTGTGTGTTTTATTCAAATGAGGCACTTTATGTGGGGACTTTACGAACTAGGATTGGTTTGAAGTTTGAAGTGCTTTTAGGTTTCGAGGGTCCCTAATTTCGTGGGAAATTATAACCTAACATTAACATTAACCTATATGAGGAAAAAGAAAATAAGAAAGAGTTCGGCAGGGTTTGATTTGAATTTGCATCAAATATACTTTGTTCATAAGTGTCTTAACACATTGCGTCTACGATATAATTTAACTTGTTCGGGAAGTACTCTTCCTCAAAGTACACTTTCGCATTCCTTGCATTGACTCTGGGTTAACTTACACCAAATTAACAATCAAAACCAACTTGTCTTATGATGTTTACATGCAATTAATTAAAGATAATATATATGATCAAAGTCAAGAACTTACATACATATGTGTATTATTAGGCCAACAATTATAGAGTGTTGTCAACACGGCACGGCAGGGACATATACCAATAATTCAGTGATGAGATATTAGCAGTTTCCAAACTTGGGAAGACGAAGAAAGAGACTACGGACGACATTAAAATTGATTAAGAGCTTGACAAGTTGGTCAGAACGTCTACCATTCTATGATATCTAGCTATAGCTAGAAGATGCATGAATAGTGTAGTAGCTAGGGCATACAAACATAAGCCATACAAATTGCCACTCATTTCTTTGCTTCCACATCCATCCATACCACACCTACTTTGATCATTTTTCCTTCACAATTAAATAATTATGTATATATATATATATATATATATATAAATATAGTAATTTTTTTTCCAATGATCCAAACCATCTATTTTTAAGGTCTTCATTCATAGATCATCTTTACAAAAAATTAGACAAATCGGAAACCGTTTCGACATCCAATTGTGTCTTACAAAATCAATGAACACGATACTTCAAGAAAGTACTAAAATCACAATAATTTAATTGAGTGCTCAAATGATATCCGATTCAAGTGATTTTTTCAGAGATAATTTTTGTTAGTGAAATACAATGTAAGGCTCACCACGCGCTATATTTCAATAATCTGAGCCATCTAGGTTTTAGATATTCCCTCAAAGATCATCTCTGTATTTTAAAAAAAAAATCACTTAAATATATATATATATTAGATATTTGAGTGTCCTAAATTATTGGTGTGGTCCGGCAAAAGACAGATTAAAGAGGGATCGATGGATGTAATTTTCATTGAAATGTCCTTGTTTTGAAAGTCGTCTCTGTGGGCAAACTCTGAACATTCATGAAGGTCAGCTGGCTATCTAGCTAGCTTTTAATTAGAAGTCATCTAGCTTTTGGGACTTTGCCATCGTCTACCAGTTCCAGTCCTCTGCGCATGAGATGCTTGATGTTCAATTGATTTCATGGTGGGCTCTGTTGCATGTATTGGCCATTAACAGCTGCCATGTGGCCTAAAGTTTGCTTGGTGCTGTTTGGCGGCCTCAAACGTCCATTTCGGCATTTATTTACAGACCCAAACCTTATCTTCAAGTACATATGATTACCAGGAAGCTGGCTAGTGTTGATCCATATCGATCATCCACCGATCGATCTTATTTTTTCATGCAACCACTCTATACAAATAGATCATTTAGTATATGTGATGTCATTTTTTAGGAAAAGAATATGTATCTTGGAGTACATGTAATGTTTTTTCTTAGGAATAGAATGTGATGACTACACGCATATCATGAATCCCAAGCAAAGGTTCATTTATATGTAACTGACTTCAAGCATTGTTTTATCTAACATATGAAGTTATGATCAACATAGTTGTTGATGCCTAAAAATGGATGATTATTTTTGGGTCTAATTTAGAGAGATGTTGCGTCACCAATGTGGTACTTGTCGAAAGCTCTTTGATGCTTAAGTTAGCTTAAGGACGAAGTAGATAACAATTTGGACAGAGTAAGGGTTAAGTAGATGAATGTAACAGTTACCTTATTTTGGGGATTTGTGCCCCTATTTATATATATTGGAAGGTATGATCTTCGAGTGATATTTTGATATGAGATTGTGGGCATTAATTACTTGAGAGGATGCCATGTGTCCTTTGTCCAGTTTGGTTTAGCAAGCGCCTTCTTTAGACAGATCGGCAAGTTGGGTTGCTGAAGGCACACCCTGTCGATGGTTTGTTTATGGGTTGAATTGCTAAAGGCTCACACCTCGTTGTTTTGACTAGGTTCTGTAGGTTCTTTTGTAGGTCCCATGTTCTACGTGTCACGAAATAATTGACCGGTTAGATATGGTATAAACAATAGCTATAAAAAAAATTAATTAATAGGCGTTTAATTAACTCTGTCTTTATTTATACAAGGATGTAAGTTAGATAAGAAATTCCGATTTTAAGTTAAACCACCGTAGAAAATTCAAGACTTTAGCATCTATTTCTAATATGATTATGTAATTTCTCAAAATTTGAAAGTTCAACCACATAAGATCTCTCACTAATTTCTCTAACTTTTCCTAACTGGATCATCAAATTAAGATGAAGAAAATGTACTTTCCCATGATTTGATATGCAGAGATCACATGAATTGGAAATTTGGGTTCCAACCGCAACCAATAAAATGACTATTTCGGGTTATGCTACAACTAATAATTAAGGTCCAAATTTTGGAATTCCTAGTATTGGAGAATGTCGAAACTCTAAATTTTTGTGACTGTACACGTGGCGGGGACGCATTGGTCAGAAATGCCCGTCTTCTATTCCCTTAACCAGCGGACGAAAGTGGCAAGTCGTTGTTTACGAAGGCGGCAACCAGAGCACAACAATCACGAAAGCCGTCTCATTTTTCCCGCCAATCCCAAAATATCCGCTCTACTTCAATTTATTTGCGAAAAGCCCATCTCTGAAAGCGTCTGATCTGCCGGTCAGTAGGGGTACTTTGGGGTTCATGCCCCAAAAATAACCGCTAGTTCATATTTTTTCTCGATCCTTCCTTCCATGCCCGAAAGAACCAAAACTTTGCAAAACAAGAAGAAAATTTTCAACCGCAGGCGGAGATTGATCCTGGTTTAGGGTTCATTGGACTTTCCATTACTGATAAGAAGGTAAAGTTTTCTCTTTTAAAAAGAAAAATTAAATATTTTCTTGTGAATTTCTTTGCTTTCTTGCTAAATTTCTGAATCATTTATATTTTTATTAAAGCTCTGCTGTAAAGTGATACATAGGAGTATGAGTGTAATCTTTTGCTGTTGAAATAGTGGGAAAGAAAGAAATCAAAGTATTGAATTTGTAAGCACAAATTTTCTTAATACCCTGAAATATTCGATCTTTTGTGAGTTATGAACTTGACTTTAATTTGGACTTTGTTGACTCAGATGATCCAAATTTTCAGTCCCTTTTGCTGTATTTTCTCAGGAACCAAACAGAGGGTTTCTGCTGATCTAGTTCTAATATGAAGCCAAAGGAAAATTGTTAGAACACGTTTGGTTTTGAAAAGGGGGGGAAAGATAAAAGTTCTCTGGTTGCAAACCCCTATTGCTGATAGTGGTTTAGGGTTTTTTTTTTCTTTCTATTTCTGATGTTGGTAACAAAACCTTATTGCTTATTTTAATTTTGAGTTCTGTCGTTTTTATTTCATATAGTTCCTTTATATCTCTGCATTATAAACAGTGGGAATCAATTTATGCACATGTCAAGGTCATTTTTACAATTTTGTTTTTGGTTCCTGAGGTGAGGTCTTTCAATTGATGAAGCAGCTTATCTTTTGAAGCAGTTGTACAGAATTTGATGAATTCCCAGTCTACTTGCCGCAACCAGAGACCCAAAGGGTTGAAGGTAAAGCTGGTCTTTCAGATTGCATTGCTTTTGGCTGTTTGCTTCTGGTTGCTATACCAGATGAAGTACTCACATGAGAAGGCCTATAGTGGAAGTGCAGAGAATAAGGTTAGTGAAGAACGCGGTTCTGATATTTTGGGGCGCAAAGTGAATGCAGGGTGGTCAAAAGATGGCAGTATATTTGGATCAGAAGATGTAAATCTTGTGGAAGGAAGTATAAAGAAAGAAGATGGAGGTGTTGGAGATGATATGTTAGGTGAAAATGCTGAAGAGAATAATGAAGCAGAATCTAACAAAGTAGATGATCATGCTCGTGGAAAGCTTGCGAGGCGTGAAGGGAATGAAATTGAAAGGACAGAAATGCATTACAAAGTATTGAACATTACAGATGATAATTCTGATGTTGAAGACAAAGGAAATGATGAACCAGTGGGGCTCAACAAGAACTCATTGCAAGAAGAAAATTCTCAAGAGAGACATGGAGATACACAGGAAATTATCTCGGATCACGATGGTGAGAAATATGTGAAGAATATTAGTCATGATGAAGTTGGAGAGGAAAAGGAGCAAAATTCACAAGTTAATCATGATAAGCAAGAAAATGAAAAGGACCGAGAGAAAGAGCCACAGAGATTGGAGGAGTTTAGTACTAACAAGGACATTTCAGTACAACATAGTCAAGGGAAGAGTGACACTCTAAAGGGCCCAGATTCAGTGGTAGATGGAGTCCATGGATTTAATGATGAGAATGGTGTTCCTGTAGATGGCAATGATCTCATAGAGTCCATAGTGACTGGATCAAGCGATGATCATGCAATGGCTCTACATCAGGAAATGAATTCAAGTTCAAACAATCAAAGTGAAACGAAAGAAAACACTATGAAGGAAGAAGTTGCAGCTAAAGAAGGAACATATGGCGCTGATTTTGAAGCGAAAAGCAAAATCTCAGTAGAAGACTCAAAAATCGACATGAAACCAAAGGTGGAAACAAGTTCTGGAATTGGTGTTCACGCAAACACCACAAGGATCGATAGCGTTTCAGAAACTACACAGGGAGGCAGTTCAGTTTCAGATTCTTAATAGAAAAACAAAGGGTCATTAACATTACAGGTTTTTTTCGACACGCCGAAGAAGTTAAAAGAACAAAAGTAGAAAGTGACTTGAGGCAGTAACATTCCTTGGTGAATGACATTGTACAATCTAATTCTGAATTAGTTTTTGCACGTTGTTCACATTTTCTTTGCCTACAAAATGAGAATGGGCGATAGTTTTATACAATCTGGTCCCATGAATTATTGAACTTACTTTTGAAATTGTCCCTGATTTTTTTATTTTTTTTAAAGGTTTCTTACAAGGTCTCAATGGGAAACTGGGGGGCCCTTGTTACAACTTTCCAACTTACAAGAGATATCTCATTGTCATTTTTCTAGTGACAGAGGAGCTGGCAACCACTAGCAATGGATTTTGTGTGTGGTGAAAATGATGTTTTGGTCCCCTTCCATGATCTTCAACTTTTACCACATGTTTTAGATGTTAGGACATCCTTGCAAAAGGAAAAAGGAAACAACAAAAACATTCATTGTTAGCTTTCTTTCTTGTGTTGTGGTCTTGGAGACTTGGGAGTTCTTGCAAAACAGAATGGCGAATGAGAAACAATTGAAATGGGAAGGCAAGGCTAGTGCAGAGCTCAATGGCCCAGAAGCAGAACAAGTGTGGCCTCTTTTGGAGGACTTCTTTGGCCTGCACAAGTGGTTCCCAACTCTCACAACTTGCCTTGGTGTTGAAGGCATATCAGGGCAACCCGGTTGTGTGCGCTACTGCGCTGGGTTCAAGACTCCAGTTGACCATAAAAGAGAGCAAGACCAAGACCAAGAGAAGGTGAATTGGACCAAGCAGAAGCTGCTTTCTATAGACCCAGCACAACTGATATTTAGCTATTCTATTATAGATGGGAATGTTGGGTTCAACTCATACATTTCAACTGTGCAAGTGGTTCCAAAGGAAGGTGGCTGCAGTATTGTGTGGAAGTATGAAGTTGAACCCGTGGAGGGGTGGAAAATGGAGGATCTGGACATGTTTATTGGCACAGGCTTGCAAGTCATGGCTAGCAGAATGGAAGCCTCTCTCCAACTCCAAGTTGGGCCACTGGAACCATAGAGTGATAACTTGTCTTGCTGTCCTTTGTTGGAGTGACTTTATTTCTCTTGGGTCAGCATTAATATTGTTGCAGAAAAGGTGTTATGTGCGTTTTTCTGTGTCTGTTTTCTTCTTCTTCTTCTTTCTTTATTTATTTAAGTTTTCGTATGTAGTGCAAAATTTAAAGATATGTATGTTGATCCATCAACTATGTAAAATCCTGCAATAAAATTTATTTCCTTTTGATATCTTTGGATAGGAATTAGAATAGAAGAAAACATGTGGGTGTGGCTTGCGTTGTTTATAAATTATAATTTCCTATTATGTCTGAATCAAAATTTTCTTTTTAAAATTTCACTATTTCTAAGCCATTATATTCAATCGAAGTGGGAAAACAAAGAGAATTGGAAGACTTACCAAAGACAAAGGTTAATGAAGAAGTGGGTTTGTATTAATACGGGATAAGAGTTGAAGAAAGTGTGTTAGCTCCCATCAGTCCCAGTGCTTCTCAATAATGTTGGTAATATCAAGTTTATTGCAGCTTCTATGTGACTTACCGAATTGCCGGTTGTAATTTGGAGGAAGTAAACCAAATGTCTGTACGAAAACAGAAGAAAAAAACACTCTAGTAGTATTTTTAGAGAATATGTGACAGTTAGGCTTTTTAACAGCGGTTTTCGTCCTCTAGCAGCGGTGTCTGTACTTTTTTTGACGGTTTATATACCCCTTGGGTCTTAAACATCTTTAGTCGCGGTAAATGTCGTCGCTAAGCGTTTCTAAAGACCCCTTTCGCAGCGTTCTTGACAACCGCCGCAAAAAGTTGGAAAATAATTATAATCTTCGCCCACGCAGGAAACTGGGAGGTACAAATGAAAAGATAAAAATAAAAACCTCCTTTTCAATATCTTTTATGTATATAAACATATTACATGATAACATTACTAAACGTTTATTAATTGGGTACATGAAAATGCCTGTATGGGATTGGAAAGAAATTCAGTGCAAGTTTCTCATGCCATCCACAGTACAGATGACTCCCACCGACATGCCAGCAACTTCTTGCCTGTTATCCTTTCTCAATCCTTCTTTGAGATGGTCTCTCTTAGAAATTCCACACCAACAAAAGTCAGGGCTGAAACTGAATTATTCTCAATCCTGGGAATGCTACCTCTGAGCAACCTCCTGTGCATCGTCAGCCATCCTTGTGCTACTTTGCATATAACAGCCATTGTACCTAAAGTTCACAACAAACGTTAGATGGAAACTGTAAAATCGTTCTTCTATCACATCTAACTTTCATCCCATGAGTAAATGTGAGGCCTATATCAAATATGTCAGGTCGAAAGGAAAGCTCAGTTTGAAATAACAATCAACACAAACTTTACCAAAGTACATATTTTCTGACTATAGCCCATCAATTATGTACCCAATATTTAAAATATTCTGTTATCTGGCTATGAGATTCAACCAAAATGGTGGGAAAAGGTGCATTGATAAAACAACTATAGCATTGTAAAATCCCCTCAATAATCACAAAGGATAAATGGTGTTTGTGTCTGTGGACCAAGGTGGTCAGCGTTCACATACACAACATCTGACACAATACGATGCCAAGCCTTGCTCGGATAACATTAAGTACTCTAACAACACAACATGATGCTTGCAACAATTTTTTTTTTCCTACACTAATAACTAGAAGTTATATGAAAGTAATAATAATAAAAATTAAAAACCACATATAGAACTGATACCTCAAGGTTGATCCCTGTACTTGCAATCTTGGTTTGATCACATCGAAGGCACTGGTAAGATATTTGCACTAATGCCTGACCAATTCGAAGCAAGTATAAATTACCCTACAGAAAATGCTGAATGCAATTATACAAGACTTAAACCAGCACCAAGTAGGACAAAGTTTAAGCAAGGTACATACCACCAGACAATCCTCCTAGTATGAGTCCCTCAACAGAACTATCAATATGGAAATTGGGATTGCCTGTGGACTTTTACTTCCCATACTGCTGCACAGTTTCAAGCCTTCATAATAACCTGCATACCAGAAATAAGAACCAGAGCTCATTAAGTTAAAAGCAACAGAATAATGACAACTAAATCATTTAGAGGCCAAAATCCTAACTGCCTATCATTTGCCAATCATAAAAGAAAGTATGTCTGAACTACTGTACTCATGGTAAAACTGGATTGCATGTAGTACAAACTCAAACTAAGTTAACTTCTCTTTTCTTATAAGAAACAGAGCTCTTATTAATGAAAATAGTGTTACAAGGACGATAAACGAAATGTCCATCTAAATACTGTTAGCATCCTCAATCTCAAATGCTATTCACAATAAGATCAAACTAAGAATTCAGTGGTCAAGACTCTTAATTGCCTGATCTCCATCATAATGAAAATAGGGAGAAGAGGGAAGGAGGAGGAGGGAACACCATACATTTGGATACCAGGCTTCATAGGTAAGCTATGCCTTTAGCAAGAAAATAAAATGCCATATCCAATGCTTGAAATTTTGCTTTCTTACATACAATTTACATGAAGTTAAATGCCATCCATATGATTGCATATCAAAAAAATTAAGCTTTATTACCCACTAGTCATGAATGTTACATCTACAACATCTTTACTCTATACCTGACTTGCACAAAGAATAACTTGCTCTGAATACGTGTCTTTACGGTGCCAACCAGATGCATCATTCCTTCCCCACATGCCCCAGCAATAGCTCTCCCCAGAAACTCCTTCCAAACTACATTGACAGATTAAAAAGTCAATTACCAACTTCCCACTTCCACAGATATTTGAAAATTCTACTAATCAAAACATTACAACCGAATAACCAAACAAAATTTTTATACACATTGTCATATACAATTATACGTTCACTAAATATCAAAATCCTTGAGTTCTTTTATTCCCCAACAATATTTTTTCTTAATTGAACAGAATATTTCCTTTGATTTCTAACGCTGGCTGAATTAGTTTCTTCATTACTGAAAATCTGAAAAATAAAAATTGGGTTTTAAGTTGCTTCAAATTCCAAACATGCGTAAAGTTGCTTCAAATTCCAAACACGCGTAGTTAAACCTATCTTTAAAATTCAATGGATGCATTTAGCTAGAAGATTAAAGTTTTAATATTTCATTATAAGTTTCACTGCTTGATGTCTTCCAACGATCCTAATATGTCGGAATCAAAATTTTCTATTTTACTTCAAAAAAATTCTCTCTGTTTCTAGGTCATAAGATTCCTATAATCGAAATTATTAAAGTGGGAAAATAGAGAATTGGAAGGCTTACCAAAGGAAAAAGATAATGAGAGCTTTGATTTTTGATATGCTATGTAATTTGGGAAAAGCAGTCGCAGAGGGATTTTGATTTCGCCGTGGAATCGTCGATGACGCCCCTCTCCCTTTCTGTCTCTCCCGATCAAATCGTCGATTGGGCCTGTGGCATCGATTGGGCCCCTGCCTCAGGAGACGAGTTTGGGGTGTCGCTTTTTGGACTTTGGCTCTGTTGGGGTTCTCTGTTGGGCTTTGTTTCTAGTCCTTTCATTGAATGAAATTTCAGATGACAAAAAAAAAAAAAAAAAAAAAAAAAAGAATAATTACGATGTGTTGGGGATGTTGTTATTTCTTGAGGACCCAAATTAGAAAAACAAGGCAACGGGGTTTATTCTAGTGAAAAATAGTTTTGACTTGAAAAACGGTGATCTCAATGGCAAATTGATAGTGTGTGTAAGAAACTCCCTTTTTTAAGTTTAGCCCAGCACACCATAAATTAAAATTTTGCAACATTTTTAAATGAACAACCAAAATTGAGCTATGGGTAGAGCATCAATCATGCCAAACTCATCGAATCGGCGGATCAATCAGAATTATAGTAAACGAGTTGGTTTGATTTTGACCAGAAAAAAAAAAAATTTATTGGTTCAGTTGCGATTTTGGGCCATGTTTGTTTAAATCATGTTTAAGGAAGAAATGTTTTTATTTTATACTAAATTGAAGGTAGAAGATGGATTACTCATGAAGAAAATTTATCCCGTCTAATCTCCACAAAATGGTAGGATAACAACACCTTATAACTAATCTCCTCTAATCCCCCCAACATGGAAAGTTATTCACCCCTACCTTCATATCCCTATTTAATATACCTTAGATTTAGTGACTTTTTCAATCCAATCCAATACGAGTCAACAAACATGGCCTTAATGTATTGTAAACCGGCCTAAATTGAACCAAACTAGTCACTTATATTTTTATTTTACACTTGTAGTCCTTTCATTAGATAATTACTAGAGAAAGACGGTGATTTGAAGTTTGATGGCATGTTGAACTCAAGAATCGAAAATGAAAAGGACTACGAAAAAGAGCCATACAGAGTAGAGGAGTTTAGCACTAACAAGGACATTTCAGTAGAACATAGTAGGAAGACTGACACTCTTCATGTCCAGATTAAGTGGTAGATAGAGTCCATGGTTTTGATGATGAGAATGGTGTTTCTGTAGATGGCAATGATCCCAGTCGAGGTCGACCACAATTTCCCAAGCATAGAGTCCGTAGTGACTGGATCAAGCGGTGATCATGCAATGGTTGTGCATCAGGAAATGAGTTCAAGTTCAAACAATCAAAGTTAAACTAACGAAAGCACTGTAAATGAAGAAGTTGCATCCAAAGAAGGAACAAATGGTGCCGATTTTGAAGCCAAAATCAAAATCTCTGTAGAAGGGTAAAAAATTGCCATTAAACCTAAGGTGGAAACAAGTTCTGGAATTGGTGTTTACACAGGCACCTCAAGGATCGATAGCGTTTCAGAAACTACACGGGAGGCAGTTCAGTTTCAGATTCTTAATAATAATAATAACGGGTCATTTTTTTCATTAACTTTACAAGAATTTCCGCACGCAGAAGTAGTAGCTTTTCTTTTGGTCAATGACATTGTACAATCTAAGTACGAATTGTTTTGCAAGTTGTTGACACGTTCTTTGCCTACAACATGAGAATGAGCGATAGTTTTGTTGTCGACTCTCTTGCAGGAAAAAAGGATATATGTACATTAAAACTCACTTTCCAAATTGTCACAAAAATCTTGGTACAAATCTATATGCAGATACGCAGCTTTATATTAACCCTCCTTGCAAAGGAAAAACATACATTGTTAGCTTTCTTTCTAGTGAGCAATTTGTTTTGTGGTCTTGGAGACTTGGAGTTCTTGCTAACCAGAATGGCAAATGAGAAACAATTGAAATGTGAAGGCAATGGTAAGGTTAATGAAGAGCTAATAAGCTAACTGTCACTCTTTTTTTAAGGCATTCAAAGTTCAGAGAAATTAGTAAGTGGAGCCACAAGAACACTAAGCAGATGCGCTTCCTAGAGAAGCAGTCGGGCCCTGTTACAACTTTCTTACAAAGATTAATAGAAGGAAACACGAGTGCACAAAAGAAAATACCTCAAAAACAATCATGGCCTTTCTATATCCTTTCCTTCCATGCCCTTCCCAAGAAAATATAAATTCTTCCTGCAAGTTACAAGCATTCATCAAATGCCAGTGCCAGCTAAAAATATTCAAATCGCATTAGCATGGCTCTTCACTGGTCAAGTTCATTTGCATAAGCAACTACAAATTCTTCAGCAAACTTCTGTTCAGTATACTTGCAGATTGTGCTCAAGTTAGGTATTTTCCCAAGTAGATTTCTCTTTTCCAGGTTCTCTATAACTTGTAGTCGTGGTTTCAGCCTGTGCTCAACGCTACAAATAAGCAATTCTGGGTGACTAACTAGAAATGAGATATCAACCTTGCCAGAGCCAAGCAGCGTTTCTATTGCCTCCTTAATCTTCTTCTCAGACGTAGCAAACACCTGGGGAGCCCTCCTAAACGCCACCAAGATATCGTTTTCCGAAAACCCCAAACTCTGGAAGAGCTTCACCTTCAGTTCCCAGGTCTCCAAAGTCATCGAACTCATGATCCGAATAGCGTATAGGAACATCTTGGACTTCCTATCAAAACCCATTTCATCAACCCCTTTTAACAAAACCCTTAATGCTCTCCTGCTTATGCAGAAAGAATCTCGGCAAAAGACACATGTATTTGACAATCTGCGACGAACTTATACCCAAACTCTTTAAAACCTCAATATTGGGCATCAATGTCTTATCCAAGTCATATTTGAGATACCAAGCAGATAACTTTAAAACCTTAAGCACACCTGCATTAGAACTCAGAATGTTCTTCAACACTAAAATAGCAGGGCCAAGACCTTTATCGGCACTCCGCCTTAAAATCCAGGGGTCTGAGGATATAAGATCGGCAATGTCGGAATCTGAAAAGCCAGAGTCTTGCAAAACCTTGATTTTGGGTTTGATGGCCGTGTCAAGATTGGCACGAAGAATCCACGGGACCCTTTTAACCACTTCCTCCAGATGGGTTTTGGAGAAACCGCTTTCCTTGAGAAATGAAAGCACCGAATCCGATTCTGCGGTACTTCGAAGAAAAGCAATGGGTGATGAGGCTTTTAAAGCGGCTTCTGGGGAAAACTGGTGCCGGTTGATTAGATATTCAGCTACTGCTACTTTGGGCTTTGATTTTGAGTTCGACCTTTTGGGATTGGAGGAAGAGTAAAACAAGAGAGAGATTGAGTGGTAAAGAGGAGGCCTGTGAAGCTGGACCGAGCTTCTCAGAGAGAATGAGAGTAAGATTAGCCTTTTGTTCATCTGGGTTATCATATTTTTCAGAGTTTTGGTTGGTGAGCTTTTAGCAGTGATTCCTACATGATAATTGAATACAGAGGAATTGGTTTTGAAATATGAACTTGCCTGTGATTATGAATTGTTGGACTCTATTGCAGAACGAACAACTTCCAGGAAGGAACTGGTCATCCAAGCGCTGTGCTCCGTACCCTCAGATCTGCTTAACATTTTGAAGTTATGAAAGTTGAGGCCCAAAGCCCGCTCGTTAGGGTTTTTAAACTCCAAGGCCTTTTTTTTTTTTTTTTTGGGGGGGGGGGGGGGGGGGGGTTAAAAATTCCGAAAACGCTGGGAACAAACAAAGCACCATAAATGGTAACCGACAGATGGGAAAATAGGGGGGAATGTAACCCTCCACTTCCCTGGGCTCCTTTTCCTTTCTCATGGAAACTTTGGAAAAATAGGCACATTTTGTATAATTTTGTTCTTATTAATAATTTAGAATTACAATATAGCATTAAATGTATTTTTTAAATTTGATTTCATATATAGGTATAATATATATATATATATCTATATATATAAAACAAAATGTAGAGAATGGTGAAACATTCAAAATACCAGAAAATGCCCTTGATTAATCCAAACATTAATAATTAAAATTATTAATTAAATGAGGATAATATGATAAATTCACACTTTTTCATATTTAAAAAAATTAAAATTAAAAGAAAAATCAGACAATGAATCCTATTTTTATAGAACACAACTACCCATTATCTTTTTTAATTCTAAAATAAATTTCATTTTTTTTAAAAAGTATCTCGCAGGCGCGGAAGCGCATGTGGAGAAGTTAGTATATATAAAGCAAAAGGTAGAGAATGATGAAACATTCAAAATGCCAAAAAATGCCCTTGTTTAATGCAAACATTAAGAATTGAAATTGTTAATTGAATGAAGATAATATGGTAAATTCATACTTTTTCATATTAAAAAAAAATTAAAATTAAAAGAAAATTTAGATAATGGATTATATTTTTGTGGAACACAATTACCCATTATCTTTTTTAATTTTAATTAAAAAAAAAAAAGAGGCTCTCGCAGGTGGGGAAGCTCGTGCAGAGAGGCTAGTTGAAAAATTAAACAAACTTTGTTTTCATTCCTATACAAACCAAACATGGGAAAAGAAATAAAATGGTATTTCCTAGTTACTTGCATTACTAAGCATAATAAATGAATCTTCTATTTTCCGTCCCTTGGGAAAAGACATGAAAAATTATTTCCCATCAAATCTTTTATGTGAACTAAACGGGGCCTAAGGATTTATTATCTTATCAAGTCATGGAAACTATTTGAAAACAAAAACAAAAAAACAAAAAAACCATGAACTCAAGTTTATTGCAAATTGTGGGAGTTCTAGCTCTTTTAGCTCAAACATTAGAATTGGTAGTTTGTCAAAAATCTTACACATTGCATTGGTGGTACTACATGTGTGAGTTTCAATTTATTTTATATATTTAAGAAAAATTCAATTGAATTGATTTCAATAACTAAAAATACAAAATTATGCTAATGGCTTTAGCCCAGTAGAAAAATGCATTCACTTGCATATCAGAGGTCGTTTTAAATTCTCATTATTTATGTGCCATAATATCCAATTGAATTGGGAAAACAGAGAATCGGAAGTCTTACCAAAGATAAGGTTAATGAATTGGTGGGTTTGTAGTAAAATGGGACAAGAGTTGAAGGCAGTGTGTGAGCTCCCATGAATTCCATTCCTTCTCCAAGATTGAAGTGTTACATTAGTGCAATAAATTTATTGCAGCTTCTATGTGACTTACCAAATTGCCGGTGGTATTTAAGGGAAGTGAAGCAAACATCTATAAGAAAACAAAAAGAAAAAGTGCAGGGAATATGTGACAGTTTGCTTTTTAGTTCCGGTTTTTAACCTTTAGCTGCGGTTCATGTACTTTTCTTAACGATATAAATGCCTAAATTTCTTTAGCCGCGGAGAAAACCGTCACTAACTGCAGCTATAGAATCCTTTTACAGCGGATAGATTTAACCGTTGCTAAAGGTAGGAAAATAATTTTAATTTTCCTTTCTATTTGTAACACTTGGATTTTGGGAGGCGCAAAACATAAAAAAGCTCATTTTCAATATCTTTTATCACATCTAACTTTCAGCTAATGATTATGCTGTAACATAAAATATTTATCCCTCTTTGCATGATTGACCGATGAAGAAAGTGGAAACTCGTATTAATGGATAATAGTGCAAATTAATTATGAATTTTTACAATTTGTGTCAGAGCCAAGCAAATTACAATTATAAACATTATAGTTCAAGTTAATCATACAATAAGTTTTTTCTCAACATCATGATACAACTACCCGTACAAGTATGGCCGCTATTAGCTTGTGTCACTTCATGCCCTCTGTATGTGAATCACCTACAAAACTGAGGTCAGTTTCTATAATATGCAGACTGGATGTGGTGCCCGACCAAACAGCAGAGTCTCATGAACTAGGCTATTCATACACCTTCGAAAGCACAAGCAGACCACTACTCGGGGCCAAATCTTCTCAGCCGCTAAAATTCAAAAACAAGTGACTTCTCATTCGTAGATCTACACGTCGTCATCTTCATCTGGTACATGTAACTTCTCAATGGCAGCCTGTTGGAACATAAAGAGATGATAAGGGATGAGCAGAGCAAAATTCTTTTGCTCCCTAGCAAGATACAACTGAAAGAATAAAAAGTATGCCCAAATTACCTTAATGGTAGCAACATCGGTTGCTGATGGCTTCAAATCCAAGGCAAAACCAAAATGAAGCATTGCTTTCTCATGCATGTTACGTCGCTTATAGATCTTACCCATCAACGCATACACGCTGCTTTCACGAGGAGAATATTCTTTAACCTCCTCTAACACTGCTAAAGCTTCATCAAATCTTTCTAAACTCATTAGTATGTTAGCCTTCTGATACATGGGAAGTGGATTCTTCTTATCTGCTATAATAGCCTTGTCCATTATCACTAACGCTTCTTCACTTCTCTGTCATATGATTTAAACACATTCCAGATAATTGTAATTAAAAAAAGGTCAGTAAATAAACAAACTTCCTGAAGTCATAATGTTAAAATGGATATAGGGAATGAGACCTTTAAAGCATGCAATGCTTGGCCAAGGTAAGTCATAATAATAGAAGAACGAGGATTTATTTGGAAAGCCGTCCGGAAGTGATGCTCGGCGAACTCAAACTTCTCTTGGCGATGATATACCATTCCAAGTCCATACCAGGAGTTATAATGCCTTGCATCAACACGAAGTGCACTCTGATAGCTCTTTATTCCATTCTCAAAATCCTCTAGAGCTACATATCTGCAGATAAGGATAATTGAAGACAATATCAGCCATCAAAATCAGAAACCACATCCAGGAGAATTTCAATTTTACGGATTAAACGATTAAAGGAAGAAAATGGCTGTCTCATACTCATGACCACAAAGGGTATGTGCATATGTGAATCTTGAATTAAGTTGAACAGCTCGCTGGAAATTCTTGAGAGCAGTTTCATGGTCTTTCTGCAAGCTATAACAATTTCCCATCGCAACCCTGCAATCCCATTCAATAAGAAAGATGCAAGGAACAATGATCGACATGTTGAAACGAAAACTGAGATTAGAATGCCATGTATTATTTCAAAAACTGTGATATAGCTACCAAGATTGAGGAGCTAAGCGGTCGGTTGCTATCAGTTCCTGAGCCAGGTAACTTAACTTCATGTCTTCCTTCACATGCTGCAAAGAGTAAGAATAATTTTCAGGGAAGCAATTAAACATTAAGCACCTAGAAAACTAAAAAACACATGGATAAAGATTAAGAAACCTATTTCTAGAGAAAAGAAAATCAGGGCTTGCAGAACAAAAACAAGGCCATCTGTAGGTACACAGAAAAAACTACAGAGTAACAATGAATGAAGCACCAAGCTTCATTCAGAATGATTGGCCGGAGTAAACTGACCATGTAATAGATACGATAAATCGTCTTAAACACACGACCTCTTTCTAACCATAGTGCGAATATTGTTTTATTTGAAGATAGAGAATACATCTCAGCAGAATTCACAGGAGTAACCCCACAGCGGAAATAAGAAAAAACTATTTTCAATTTTGAGAAACATCATTATGGGGACTCACATAGAGAACTGTGGAATATATATCCATTCCTTCTAAACTGTAAGGTGATGCTTGACGGGCAAGACTGAAGGCTCGATCAGCTTCTGCATATTCTAGCAGTTCACAATAAGCTTTTCCAACCTGCAGTTGAGGAATGCCAAAATAGTCAATTAGAAATATTGAGAACAAAGGTTTAGGTATCTACAAATCATGGAGGAATAAATGAAGCAGAACAAAAGAGAGAATGAATTAAGTCCAAATAAATTCATCACTGTTCTTATTTCTGGAGGGTTTTTATTTGTAAATTAGCATAAAAGACCAAACTATCAAAGATGAGATGAACATGTGACGAGAAATTAATCAGGTTCTGAACTGATGACAATGAGATATTGAAAAAATAGAAAGATTTGTAAGAATGAAGTGAAAACAACCCTTCTTTATCAGGTCTAATGTGAAAATATTATTTTCTAGTAGTGTTCCAAACTAGCTAACTAACTTATATAGACCTCCACCAAACGAATGTATCTCCTGCAATATCCCTAAATTGTGGAAGACTAACAACAGAAATGGTTGAATGGAATCTGTACTCAGTATAAGTATTCTCCAGTGCTGCATACAAGGTCATCAGAGCAGGAGACAATATAGAAATCCGGCCAAGAAGTTTTTGGACAACTACCTGGGAAAGTACCCAGCCTGTGTTGTAATGCTTGTATGGAAGTTTGAGATAGACATCCAGTGCATCCTGTGCAACACAGTCAATATTAGATAATTAAATACAACCTCAATTGAGGAAAAGAATATTACACTCAATAACCAAGTAGTACCTGACATCTGTACAAGCAGGAAAGTCTATAGCCCTCCCCAAGGGTTCTTAGAAGGCTCAATATTTCTGAAGCACCAGTGACAACTCTTGAAACATTCATAATACCCCCACTACCTGACAAGGTTGTTCCTTCTTGTTCAAGATATCTGTTATCACTAGAGGGAGTAAAACCAGAAGCTACTGCTGCAGTATTTGAACGGGAATCATCGAATGTCTCATTGCGCATCCCTAAATAGAACCCAAATTTAAATTTCACAAGTATCAGCTGAAAAGCCATTGGACAGAGCAAACATCAAGGAATCAACAGTATCATAGAGTGGAAAAATAACGTATTCATATTAGCCAGGAAACATTACTGAACTTAGATGAGCAAAGCAACTGAACAAACTTAAATCACTATCATGCAAATTTGTTGGTTCTCTATTAATAGAAAAGAGAAGATGCATCACCTTCATCAATATTTTCATTGGCCCATGGCTGTCCCTTACGATTTGCCAAGGAACGTGCCACAGAGCTCAGCTTGGAACTTCCAAGATATTTAGATGAATTGATAGTTCCATTTCCAGCTGTCATTGAGGCACTTGCATTAGTGTTAGCCCCTGCTTCGGCAGCAAGTCTATTGCTCCGTCGGTTGCCAGAATCAAAAGACAACCTGCTTGAAATCTGAAAGAGAAAGACAAATCATCTCAACAATTCATTGACCACAATATGTCCAGGAAAACAAATGAAAATTCCACCAAATAATATAGAGTTACTCAAGTGCAGAAATTCCAATTGCTATATCCACGATGGAAATATAAAACTACAATAATGCAACCAAATCAATGAACCAAAGGCAACAGCAGCAACAAATAAATAACCTCAGCGTAAGCCCACATTAAACCTCTAAAACAAGGAAGGCATAGAAGTTTGGAACTACTGAGTAAGTGCTAACAAACAACGATAAACAGCAAAATGGTCCCAAAGGGCAAACTTACACAACAGCCCTTATGCAAACTTTGAAGAAGTCAGATTGAGTCAAAGACATTACATTGAATATCGTGATAACATGTGTGTTAAAAGAAATAAAGACTCTCCATGCATAAATTTCCCTCCAAGAAAACCAACAGGCCGCAGAAATCAGCAGTTTCACAACAAATTCCATGTTCAGTTCAGTTCATAAGCATGGTCCACAAATCTGAAGAAAAAAAGTGTAAAGGCACATGCAATTTACACAACAATGAACTACCTTACATACACTTAGATTATTAATTTATGTTAGCAACAGTGGCATGAAGAATTATATCAATAGAAAGCAAGTTTATTTAAATTATGGATAAGTGGCCTTGTACCTTCCGCAGTTTTCCTTCATCAACAAACTTTCTTCTAGGGGCTTGAATGGTAGAGTTTAAAGTTGACCTCGGAGAGCTATCAGTACCTGTGCTCATATTTGGGCCATTTGGCTGTACCATTCTACACAGAGCTGGTGGAGCAACACCTGACAACTGCAAACAGGGGCAGTAAGAGCAATGGTGACACAAAAAGAAAAGGATTTAGCTGATTTTTGTGTGTATATTTTGATTTTGACAAATACCAGTTTCAATGTTTTATTTCTGGTACAACTAAGTCTTACATAACTGAGTGATTATGCCCTAAACACTCTAGCATTGAATTTTTTAAGTTTAAGACCTTAATTTTAGAGACACAGGTGTTTTATACATAACAGTAGCCAGCGGAATCGGATTTTCAAATTTATAATTCTTCTCTTACAACCCTAAACCCTAAACCATAATTCTTCTCTTACAACCCTAAGTCCTTAAGCCACAACTTTATAAATCCTAAAGCCCATCGCATATGCATTTGTAGGCAATATTTGCAACTATCCTACATGGCAATATTTGCAACTATTCTACATGAGATGGTCTACTTTAGAATAATGACACAAACTTAAGAGTAAATTACCAAATGTTTTCTTTCAAAACAAAACCTAATTGAAGAGGTCTTCACCCATAATTGCAAACCAAAACAGATATCATATTATTCAAAACCAAGAGGAATATTGGGTAGCGGAAGAAAGGAAAGAGATACAGCAATAAATGCAGGACTACTAGAACAAAAGTGGAGGAGATAACTTATATATACCTGCATGGGCATTGGTGAAGGAGTGTTATAGAAAGATAGGCTAGAACTGCCATTCACAGGCTGACCAGAAGCTCCTCCCAAAATAACATGAGAATTTCCAGACACATCTCTTATGTTATTTCCTTGCATGTGCTTGAATTGTCTCTGACTAACATCTTCCGAGCTAAAGTTCCTACCAGAAACTAAATTACAGTCCTCATTTAAGGTAAGTAAACTTTGTGAAGCTAATCCATGATGTAGATGCTGCTTTTGTATGGAAAGAGAAGCAGCTTCACCAAAAACTACAGCTGCTTCTTCAGCGGAACCTGGAACAACGGAAATACAAAGCCTTAACTTAAATATGTATTGAAAGAGAAGCCTTCACTTATTCTCCAACTTGCAAATCAAGCGAAGGCTTGACTTCAGGATAAATATCCAGCTAGAATTTTCCCAATTCAGGGTAAATGGTTACATGCATCCAGATTGATATCTTAGCAAAATGATCAGTTGTTAGACAAAGGGGCATAATGATTAACGCAAAAGTGCTGCACTAAAAAGAATATGAAGTCATGTGTGTAACATTGTCCAGACCTAGCACGCACAGTTCTTCATATGCAGCCCACATAGAAGGATCTACAGTCAAAGCCTGTTTGAAGTGATGGATGGCACTTTTCCTTCTATCAGTATACCTAGAACAAAACCAATTATAAACAATAATATCATGAGAGGCATGCATCATATGCATATAATGTTATAGAAGAACAGAAAATTGACACGATCATACAATCCAGGCATGAAAATTGACATGATCATACAATCCAGGCATGAAATAACTATAAGATGCAAAAAACAGAGATAATGAAGTAGTTGCAGGATGATAAGCTACAAATTCCATAGAATGGTAACAAACCTAAGTTAATACAACACAGTAAAGTTCTCTATTCTATCCCAAGAGACATGCAACCAGAGAGACGTAGGAACAACTTAGAAGAGGACACGAATCTGAAGAATTTCACAAGCACCACCTAAAGTTTACCTGACATTACTAGGACGAACTACATGCAAGCCTATGATACCCCCACTACCACTACTGTTCACCTCTCACAATTGAGTACAGCTTCATAAAATCATAGGATTCTGTCAAAATACATCTTGTACTGGAATGCTCTTTTGCCTGACATCTTACTGAGATGGATCCCAATATAGTGGTCCTTTAGAAAGTAAGTTTAGCCATCATCACAAGAAAGTCCCTTTCAAGAAACTTATAAAGTAGATATGCCTTTGGCTACATCCGCAGAAGCTCCAGAAGAAAGAAGACAAACCTGTAAATAAGCCCCAGAAGGTAATGACCAGCTGCACCATTTGGAACCTGCAAAAATAATTAAGAGCAAGTCATCTGCTGTTTCGATCACATGATAATGTCTAAAGGGTATATTCATTCAATTCCAGTAGAAACAATGAAACCCTGAAGAACATTGTGTTATATGAAGTAAGACTTCAACAAGTGACATTATAAATTTTAATTTAGACATAATGCTCCAAACAATTTGATTCTGATACCTCTGCACTAGGCTCATTAACAGGACATAATGCTGCTTCTGCTTCACTAAGAAGATCCATCTGAAAGCATGATATTGCAAACAAGTAGCGGGATTGAGCCACTTGTGTTCCTTCATAAAAATCAACAGAAAGAAGAGGAGAGGTCCATGTGATGAGAAACACTAAATAAAACCCTTAATTAAAAAGAAAGAAGGAAACTACAAAAATAAAAATATACTCAAACAATATATGAACTATGACATTGCCTACCCTTTAAAATATGATAAGCAGCATAAGCTTGATTGCTTTGCAAGTAACAGCCAGCTAACAATTGTAAATTTGTCTGCAATGGAACAACTTGTCAATGAGTCCATAAACAATTAACAAACTGAAAAAACAGCGCTACCCATTCAACCAGAAAATAAAAAGGTCACCAACACAACTTCTTCCAACAGACAGTTCTAAATTTTAGAACGGATACATTTTCTGTCAACTTTCGAAAGTGGCATAACCAATCTGATTAATTCTATCAAAAAAGAGGCACTGTGGAAAGTAAACCACATTAAGAAACCCCATTTTCAAAATACCCACAGCTTCATGCTTCATTGCAAAAAGAATATTACCAAAAACAATTCGCAGTCCAGAGCTCCAATAATTTAAAGCTAATAGCAAAGCAAAGAACTAATTCAACTACATAATTACTTATCCTCAAAGAAAAACATTTTATTCCAGAAAAAGAATAATGTGAACCCTGGGTAAATATAAATGTTCGAGAGATTCTAAACCCCTAAAACCCTAGATTTCAAATACAGAACACGGAATTACTCAGGTATAACCGTATAAGTAAAATCTTAACGAAGTCGTTGGTTAAGTAACACGAAGCATCGATCATGATGATAAAAGCGGTAATGTTCCCCAGGGTCGCCGTGAAGCACTAGCAGAAGAGAAAATTCCATTTCGAATTTTCCATCTTTGTTTTTCCTTTCCTGGGATTTCTCGGTAACCAAACAAACAGGCAATAAAAGAAAAAGAGTAAAGAGTAGGTGGAGAAAAGGCACCTCGGATGGGTACTCGGCACAGAGTCTTTCGCAGAGGAAAATGGCGTTTCGGTACATGAAATCGCGAAGACTGTGCTGAACACAGTCTCTGAGTATGGCTTCCATGGCTGCTTTGATTTGGTGAGAGGGAGAGAGAGAGAGATGGAGAGGGGTTTTGGTTTTGGTTTTGGGTTTCAAAATCAGGGCGGCACGTGTGACCTCCCATTTCAAATCACGCGTCAGGTGACATTTATTTTTATTTTTTATTTTTGGTTTAAAATCACGTACCACAAAACAAAATTGGATTTTTATATGACGCATTAACTCCATTGACAAAAATAAAGAAAAATACGATAAGGCTGCAACGGTTAGGAGCAAGAAGACCAACAAAACAAAACAAAACTTTATTTTGTTTCATGAATATGATTAATCGGATACTGTGTTTATTCTATTTGTTTGATCGTAATTGAATCACCAATTTGGATTTTAAGTAGTTAACTTATATTAAATTACAATCCACTTTTTTGGATCTTCATTTTGACGAGCTTCATTTTGTAAACTTCCTATTTTGATGACTTCTCTATCTTCATCATCTCTAGCATTACGATCTTGAATTCGGGTAGATTAAACCAATTTCTATCTCATAATTTATGATTCCCTAACTATACTCTACATGATAAAAATATAAATTAGAACAACTAACTCTTTGTTTAATGACTAACTAGCCTTTAGTCTAGTGGTATTTGTCTCTACTAAGTTAGATGATATCTCATATTTGACTTACATAAATGACCATAACGATTTACATTTGTGACTAGCCTTATTGTGAGTGTATGAATCTATTGTGAAAATATATTATAAATATATTATATTTGTCAAAAACTCTTTATTTAGTGATATTTTTATTTTTAAATCGAATAAGGTCCTAATTTTAAATCTTCCCGTTAATAAAAGAAGATACCATACGGCCCTGAAAAGAGAAAACAAAAGGTTAAATATGTTCAATTGGTCCGGCCCATATGAACGGCCCAAAAGCTGGGGTGATACCTTAACCCGGGCTTAGAAGAAAAAGAAAATGGGTAGGAAACAAAAGCCGAAAACAAAAACAAACGCAAAACGCTACCTCGTGAACACCGTCCACTTCAATGGACGACCAGACCGGAGCATCGCCACCGGCTCCGAATTCGGAAGGCTACGATGATCCGACAATGGAGGACGATCCTTCCTCGACGGTCCTCGATCTCACCAGCTTCCAACTCCACGATCTGGACTCGATCGAGTTACCACCGAGTCTAACCGAGTTAGACGTGACGGCGAACCGCCTCACCAGCTTGGACACTCGGATTGCAACCCTCTCGAGCCTTAAGAAACTCTCTCTCCGCCAAAACCTCATTGAAGACGCCGCCGTTGAGCCGATCTCTCGTTGGGACGCTCTGTCCGGTCTCGAGGTACTTTGTTTTCTTTTTTAATGAAATTAAAAGGTGATTTTCTTGGCGGTTTGTTTGGTTCCCGGGAAAATTAACAGTTGATATGGCCTGCAGGAGTTGGTGCTGAGGGATAATAAGCTAACGAAAATACCCGATGTTACCATATTCATCAAGCTTTTGGTTTTCGATGTTTCTTTCAACGAGATTACGTCGTTACATGGATTGTCCAAGGTCTCCAGCAAGCTCAAGGAGCTCTATGTTTCCAAAAATGAAGTTGCCAAGATTGAAGAGATTGACCACCTCCATGAGCTTCTAATTCTTGAGCTTGGTTCCAACAGATTACGGGTTAGTTTTCTTAACAGCAAAGTTTCAAGGAGCATTTGAAATTATGTACATGGCTGTATTGATAGTGTAGCAACTGTCATCCACCTTGTTATGATTGTATGCTGAAATGCCAAATCAGGTGATGGAGAATTTGCAGAACATGACACATTTACAAGAGCTGTGGCTTGGGCGGAATCGAATTAAGGTAGTGAATTTGTGTGGGCTGAAATGCATCAAGAAGATTAGCTTACAAAGCAATCGCTTAACTTCTATGACTGGATTCGAGGTACGGGGTGGCCGGTCCACTGTTGTTTCTTTGAGACAAACTCTCTAATGGATTGGTTGTATAAATATTGAAACTCGCTCCCCGCCTCTTTTCCAGGAGTGTGTTGCTCTAGAGGAATTGTACTTGAGCCATAATGGTATTTCAAAAATGGAAGGCCTCTCAACCTTAGTCAACCTGCATATCTTGGATGTATCAAACAATAAGCTAACGTCAGTGAATGGCATTGAAAACCTAACAATGTATGTATTTTATCTCGCAGTCACTGTTCGTTTGATGTTGTTTTGTCTTTCATATTTGATTCTACCTTTAATGGGATTCTTGTGTATAGGTTAGAAGACCTGTGGCTTAATGACAACAGCATAGACTCAGTTGAAGGCATTGCTGAGGTTGTTGCTGGTTCAAGAGAGAAGCTCACTACCATCTATCTCGAGAATAATCCATGTGTATGGTTATCTGCAACCTGAAGGACCTAAAATATTTAAAGTTCTAGTATTTTATTCTTTCAGCATGCTTAGCTGCAGTTTAAGGAAGTTAAAATTAGTGTGTTCAGAAATGTGCAAGGTGGTATGTTAGAGTTCATGCAACTCTAATGCTTTGCTCACACAAGTATAGTGGTGAAATGTAGTAGCAATATTCTGATTATTTGTTAAGTCCAATGTCTGGTAAAGAAAAGGAAAAATAGTGGCTATGAGATTCTGTAAGCATGCATTATCTGACATATACATGCTTATATCTTCTAGGGTTTCATGTCCAGTAGTACGATGAAGGCAGGACGATGGTACTCTGTTTCTATGAACTGGTATACGGTCAAAGAATATTGAAAGCAGATTTTTAGGCGGCAAAGAAGATTGGCAAATACTCTTTTACACATAAATATATGATTGATTAGTTGTGCATCTTCCTTTTTGTTTTGTGTTGATAATTTTTTCTTAAGTATGTTGGCAGATGTATTTCATATGCTTTTAAGATTTTCTATATATTGATCCTTGCATCTCCTATTCCAGGCGAAATCTCCAAACTATGCTGCTGCCTTGAGACAAATCTTCCCAAATATACAGCAAATTGATTGTCATATATTTGCTTAAAGGTTTCCATGGCTTCAGCTCTGTCAACATAATTTTCATGTGAGCACTGGAAATCCATAACTGCAATGTAGGTATTCTTTCTCAACTATTTTGTTTTATTCCCAGTGATTATTGTAGTGAGTGTCTCCTCAAAATGACTTATTTTTCGAGTTCTAATTCATGGATGTTGTTTGCAGGCAAACCTGTGGTTTGGGATACCAATTCATTCAGGATACTAATTAGGAACGCCCTATCTCAAAGGGGCAGGTGCTGCGAAATAATGATAAATTGCAAAATCATGGATGGCTCAAGAACTCACTTGATGATTTTAAAACGAATTTTCAGTGTTGTATTATGAAGTTCTCTGTTATTTAGATCATCCGGTTTTCCTTTTCCTCTTTCTTGCTAATTTTATGTGGCAGGTAATGTTTGAACTTTTTAATCCATTCATGTATGACATGTTGATTGTGTCAGTTTTGGATGTTGAGAAGATGCGTCAATAGCTTTTCTGCCTTACGACAGCTTCCTTTGCACAGGAACATCATTCCCAGCCAGTGAATGTAAGTATAAATTTTGTCAGATTTTCGAGGAATGGTTGAGCTTTGTATGGGTGAGAAACTGTAATAAGGAAAAAAAGGTAAGAAGCAGGGATAATAAATAAAAATTAAACAGATGCAATTTTAAACATTTAACATCTAACAAAAAGAAGTATGATCATTCACGATAAGCCTGTCAAATACCATCGGTCGGATAACTCAAAAAATAAATAAAGAAAAGAGGATCAAGAGCTTAGCTGATCGGAACAGCTTAGCGACCCCTTTCGAATCCAATACGGGTTCTGCTGGAGCCCCCTTGGTAGCCATCTCGCATGGAAGACCCTGCACTTGCTCTCATTGTCCCTCCTGTTCCAACCTTTTCCGTGGCTTTTGCGCTCTGTTTCACCTCTGTCAAGAACCGGTCGAGACCAAATGGATCGGCTTCTTCAGCAGCATCTTTCTCAAACTCGACCGGTCGCCCTCTTGGACCTGCCCTCTCAGCAGCTCCTCCAAATCCTTTGTCAGGTTTGAAGCGATCGGTTTTCTTAATCTTATCCAACTGCTCATCAGCACCTCCGTACATTTCATTATCAACATCCTTCTTAGGCCTGTACAAGGTTGAGAGCGTAGGCGGAGCAGTGGACAAGCCCTTGTCATAAACGTTGTACTGGTCATCAGTGGCAAACCCAGATTCCATTCCTTTCTCCTGGTTGAACAGCCTCTGGTCATACATAACCTCTCCCCCTCTGCTTGCTCCATCAGAAGCCATGCCGAGGGCAACTTTCTCACTGATATCCCGATCTCGATCTCTTGTAATTTTACTTTTCTTCCCCATTGGTGCATCTTTGGGCTCCAACCTTCTCTCCCTTTCCCTTTCTCTTCGTCGCTCCTCACGGATCTTCTCCCGCTTCAACCTCCCTTCTCTTTCCTCTCTAGTCTCCTTCGGATAATCAGTCTCTTTTTCGCTTGTTGGACGCTCATAATCCCCTCTCGCATCATTGTCCAGTGCTGTTCTGTTAGAAGGCATTGAAGGAGGGGCTGCAGCACCCATTCTCTCGGAACGAGCCCTCTGAGCTAATATCCTCAAGTCCTGCTCTTTCTTTTCCTTCTCCTTCGTCAACATTTCCTCCTGAACTTTTTTTCTCATAGCAATTCCCTCTCTAGCCTTCTGCTCTGCTACATACAAAGCCTCTTGAAGCTTTGCGTAATTATCAAGAAACAGACCACCAAGATCTTGAAGGACTTTCCCCTCAGCTGCAAGACGTTTGTCCAGTGGTATCGTATACCCTTTCTGATTCTTCCAAATTGAAATACAAGGTGGAATCTTCCAATCGTTCAGGTCTTTCACAGTCACCGGCCGTGGCGGGGAATGCATGACCGGCACGGGCGGGGACCCAGAAGGCCTCGGAACACGCTTATGCTTGAACTTAGGAGGCTCAAGTGGGTCCACAGGCATCTCCGCCATCCTGATAATCCTCGCCTTGGCACCAGAGTTAAACGCCGCTGCCTTCTGCGATGGCGTGTACTTGATAATTTTCGAGCCAGTCGACTGCTTG